TATATATATATATTCTTAACGGTTTAACGGATTATCCGCTAAGAAAATTGAATAATTCGCCCCCAAACCGATAAGCCGTTAACAAAAAAATTTTAATCTGTTCCCCGTCCGTTAAAGCGTTAACCCGATATCAACAAGCCATTAAGCTTCGGTTTCGGTTCGGTTTTCGGTTTCAGTTCGTTTTGAACACCCCTACCTAGGAGAGGAAATTTTAAGTACCTAGGATCAATTATTTAGGGGATGAGGAGATAGATGAAGATGTCACACATCGTATTGGGGCGGGATGGATGAAACGGAGACTCGCTTCCGGTATTTTGTGTGACAAGAATGTACCACCGAAACTTAAGGGTAAGTTCTACAGAGTGGTGGTCAGACCAACGATGTTGTAGGGGACTAAGTGTTGGCCAGTCAAGATTGCTCATGTCCAGAAGATGAAGGTAGCAGAGATGAGGATGTTGAGATATATGTATGGGCACACCAGGTTAGATAGGATCAGAAATGAGGTTATTCGCGACAAGGTGGGTGTGACCCCTATTAAGGACAAGATGCGGGAAGCGCGGCTTAGGTGGTTTGGTCATATGAGGAAGAGGAGCACAGACGCCCCTGTGATGAGGTGTGAGAGGTTGACATTGGAGGGCTTACGGAGAGGTAGAGGTAGGCCAAAGAAGAGGTGGGAGAGGTGATTGAGCAAGATATGGCGCAAATTCAGCTGACCGAAGACATGACCCTTGATAGGAAGGTATGGAGGTCGAGGACTAGGGCAGTAGAGTAGGTAGTCTAGAGTGTACATAACATTAGTATTGACACGCAGTCTCGCTTTCTGTTGGTAGTAGGTTTTTATGACTAACCGTTGTTTCTTTCATTGTTGATCACCATACTATCCTTTTATTTTTATTCTGCTTTTATATGGCTTTTTGGTACCGTCCCTTCTTGTCTATATTTTCATTAATGTGATGCTTATGTTTTCCTGAGCCGAGGGTCTATTGGAAACAACCTCTCTATCCTCACAAGGTAGGGGTATGGTCTGCGTACATACTACCTTTCCCAGACCCCATGATGTGGGATAATACTGGGTATATTGTTGTTGTTGTTGTAGTAGTAGTTACTTGTGTAAGAGGTTGAACAAAAATTAAAAGACAACCTTGTTTAAAACTTTAGCCTAAAGTTTTCAAAGAATATTATGATAGTATCAGTGAAGGATTTAGATTATGGTCTATAATTGTCTACAAAGTAGCTTAAAGTTTTGATCGATCTAAATAGTGGTTATATTGGGGAGGGTTTGTTTGGTACGAACGAAATTTTTTTAAAAAAAAATTAAAAACCCAAAAATATATTCCTCCATAGCGCGCACACCCAAAATCTGAAACAGTGACCTCAGAAAGGGCTATTTGTGTAAAACCGCCAAATTTTGGCTACAGAGAAAAACCAACTCATGTAAAGATAAAACCACGGCCCAAGTCTCCCCTCGATCTTTTGCACTCTTACGCAAAAAACCCTAGCAACACTACCCCTACCGTTCACTTCCTCTTTGGCCTCTCTACAGTCCTTCGATTCTTCCCTCTGAACAACAATGGCGTCCAGTGATCACACGATATTGCAATTCTCACCATCTTCAACCAGCTTATCGGCTAAGGTTCACCCTCTAGTCATATTCAACATATGTGACTGCTACGTGAGGCGTCCCGATCAAGCTGACCGGGTCATCGGCACGCTTCTCGGCTCTGTGTTGCCTGATGGTACTGTTGACATTCGAAATTCCTATGCCGTTCCTCACAGCGAGTCACAAGATCAGGTTCTATTCTCAGTATTCTTTCTGATAATTATTTATACTGTAATTGGACAAAGAAAAATTTCAGCTATCTTATTTAAGGTAAATTTGGCCGATTGTTAGATTTATAATGAGTATAGATAACCTAGCTCAGTAATTTTTGTTTTTAATTTCAAAATGATGAGATGAAGGGACAAATTGTGTAAATTTTTCGGTAAATTTAGGGAATAAAGGGCTTTTTTTGATAACTCTAGATGAGTTGCCTAATTGCGATTTAATTGCTAGTGCAGAGAATGTGAATGATTTGTTGTACAATTTGTGTTTTGTATGCATAAACCAGTGGTTAACTATGCAGAGAATGTGAATGCATATACCAGTTGTACGCAATTGCTGATTTGCACAACCTGTAATTACCCCTGTTGCACTGGCTTAGTGCAAATATTTATATAATATATTCTTTACCCATCAACAACAACAATATACCCAGTATTATCCCACACCGTGGGGTCTGGGGAGGGTGTGTGTAAGCAGACCTTACCCCTACCTTGCGAGGATAGAGAGGCTGTTTCCAAATTCTTTACCCATCAAAAAAATAAAAAAAACTATGCATGGGAAATACTAAACAAAATAGATAATGTACAATACAAAATAATTTTTTCTTTCGTTATTTTGTTCTCAACTTTGCATACCACATTTCTATTATGGATTGTATTTTTTTCTAGATGTTCTTTTTATGATTATATATTTTTGGGCATTTTGTCCATTTTAGGTTGCATTGGATATTGATTACCATCACAATATGTTATCATCTCATCAGAAGGTGAATCCAAAGGAAGTCATTGTCGGATGGTAATCCACCTTTCCTTTTTTCTTTTGGTTAAAGTTTCTTTGTGTTGCTAAATTGTTTCTGTGGTGGAAAAGTCTTTAGCTCCAACTATATCCAGAACTGAAGACTCTTATATATTGCTGAAACATGAAATCTTTGGTGTCCATTAACCTTATATATGAGTAATATACATTTTGATTAAAATTGGAATATGATATCCGGAGCATGCCATGTTTAACCATTGATGAAAAAGATGTCTGAAATGGGAACATATATATGCAATTTCTACTTCCATATAACATATTAAGAAAAAAGGTTGGGACTTGTTTGGGGGAGACTACCCTAGACGACCATAGGTGGCTAAACTCTCACGAGGCTACTGCAACGTCGAAATGCTTTAAGCTTGGTATTCCCTGTCCTTTATCTTTCACCATTTTCTTTTTATATTGTGATTAAAGTATTTGACTTTAATATATGTGTGTGTGTGTGTGTGTTGGTGCATATACATAATATGTTATACATTTAAAAAGATTCGGCGACTTACAATATTCTTGTGTACGCATATGATTTTATGCCAGTAGTTAAGTTAAATTTTTTGTCCCTTTTTTTGGTTTGGTGTACATTTTAATGCATTGATGTAGTTTTTCTTCATTTATTTTTGAAGTACAAAATTCTTGGGCTTGGTGCCCCTATCCTTGGGACTAATGAAGATTTGTGACGTTCTTTTTGGGTAGACGGCTTAACAGGCTACACTTGATTACCCTTGCTGACTTCAATATTTTAGTTCGTTCATGGCATCTCATTTTGTTATCTGGAAATACTTTTAATTTACTGCATGCAGTTGAAAGATGTTGAAAAGAATGGCTATGATGTATGAAAACAGGAAGAAGGAAATAGAGAATCCATTAAATGTAACCTGTATTCAGTGTACAAAGTATTCCATTAACAGAATGCACCTACTTATTGGTCCTTAGAACTTATGAGTACTGGCAACTATATGTTCATATCACACACTGGAATTCTTGGTGTTATCTGCCTATGAACATACTTCATAACTCCTTTTAAGTTCCAGTTCTGTTGAATATTTAACTGCATATAAATCGATCGTTGGCCTGTGAACTTCCTGCTTTATGTAGTAGCGAACAAGTCAAAACTTGTAATACTAGAGCTGATAAAACTGTGACTATCTGATACTTGGATTTCACAGGTTTTCTACTGGTTTTGGAGTTAACAGAATGCACCTACTTATTGGTCCTCAGAACTTATTAGTACTGGCTACTATATGTTGCATATCACATACTTGACTTCTTCTATCTGTCTATCAACGTACTTCATAACTCCTTTTAAGTTCCAATTATCTTGAATATTTAACTGCATCCAAAGTCGATGATTAGCCTGTGAGCTTCCTGCTTTATGTAGTGGTGAACAAGTCAAAGCTTGTAATACTAGAGCTGATGAAAGTGTGGCTCTCTGATACTTGGACTTCACAGGTTTTCTACTGGTTTTGGAGTCACGGGTGGTAGTGCTTTGATCCATGACTTTTATTCCAGAGAAACTACAAATCCTATACATTTGACCGTTGACACTGGATTCACAAATGGAGAGGCTTCTGTAAAAGGTTTTGTTTCTGTGCATTTGTCTATTGGTGACCAGCCGCTTGCTGCACAATTTCAGGAAGTTCCATTGGACCTGCGCATGGTTGAAGCTGAAAGGGTTGGATGTATGTCTCCACTTACCTCCCATACCATATAGGATGGGCTAATTTTCTTTACATTTCTTCGTTCTTTTTTATTTTTTCCATACTGTAACTGATGCCAGTGAATAGGGGTTGATGAATCCCCACTTCACTGTGATTGAGTTCATTATAATATCTTTGATGATCAAGTTATCATCCATCCAAAGTATAGATGCAAAAAGTAGCTATAGTGTAATGTGTTCCAATAGAAAGGGTAAGAAATGGTATCTTCTTTATATTTGGTTGGAGAAAGAGGTAAAGAGCATAAGTCATGTTAATTTCCTTTGCACAATAAAGTTTCTCACTGGAGTTTTCTTATGTTCCATTACTTCAGTTGATATACTTAAGACGACTACAGTAGACAAACTTCCCAATGATCTTGAAGGAATGGAAGCCTCAATGCAACGATTACTTTCTCTGATTGATGACATCTACAAATATGTTGATGATGTTGTGGTAACAGAACTTTGCAGTACTCGAATTTTGCACTTGCTCTGCTCTTTTGTTAAGTCATTTACCATATTGATATTCCTTTGCAGGAAGGACGTGTGCCACAAGATAATAAAATTGGAAGGTTCATATCTGATACTGTGGCTTCCCTTCCCAAGCTCTCATCTCAAGACTTTGATAAGCTCATTAATGATGGTCTCCAGGTAGTTATATTTACCTTTAAATTGGATTGCTAATTTCCATTGTTTCCTTCCTATTCCCTCTCTACCCTCCCTAACCAACTGGAAAAGAAAGGAAAAGAAAGCAAGTCTGTAGACATATTATTTTACTTCTCCCTAGCACTTACGCGCTGTAGTTAGAAATTTCAGGAATTACCTTTTGGTGGTTATTTATGGAAAGGAGAAGTACTTCAGTGAACATCCAATTAGCTTTGTGGCTAATTCTGCTTTGAGCTAATCCTTATAGCAAGTTCTGCTTCAACTTTTAATATAAAATAGCATTTCTCATTCTGTTTAAACACTTTTAGTTAGGAGAACAAACTGATAGATTCTTCTATTTTCTTCTTGTCCATGTTTTCTCCAATCCATGCACACTTGCCTTGGCAGCTGGCTCTTCCATCCCTGCATGTTTTTACCCTTACACTAAGCATCTATACCCCTTTTCTCTTCTTTTTGCCTTCTTCCCAGTTAAAAATAGCCCACTTGAACCTAAAACACCACACATATGTTTTCGATTGACTAACTGCAGCTTGAGATCCTTCTAAAAATGGCAGCCATGTTATCACTTCATTGTCATACATCTTTTACTGCGTCTTTAATGATAAAAGCTTGAGATGCGTCGATCTTGGGGAAGAGAACCTGGAAAATGTAGTCTTATGGGGATTTCAACTAGTCTATTTGCCCTATAGTGCTTTCCATTCCCTACCATTTCTTCTCCTTGTGAAACTCCAGTCTTGGTTCTTTTTTTTTACAACTTCCCTCTCACCCTGGACCACCAGGCCTCTCCCCTCTCTCGTTAGCCCTTCCTCTTTATTTTCCTTTTCAATTTTAAGTTTTGTACCATAAACTTCCATATAATCTTTCATATTAAGCACATGTAAAATGTTGGGACAAAATTCGTGATTCATCATGTTAATTGAATGTAGCACAAGGGTCAAGTTGATCATTAAGGGGTCATTTGGTTTAGAAACTTTTACATATTGTAATACAAAGATTAATAATGTAGGGGTATAACTTGTACAAGGATTACAACAACAACAACAAACCCAGTTTGATAATAGGTGCGGTCTGAGGAGGTAGTTATGTACGTAGACCTTACCCCTACCTAATGTAGGTAGAGAGACTGCGAACAAAACCACATAACGTAATAAAAATCTAAGAATATGAAGAGACATGCATGCTACTAAGACTATCGGTGAACAACTATAAACTACCTACTAACCTTCTACCTTAATTCTCGACCTCCACACCATCCTATCAAGGGTCATGTCCTCAGTGAGCTGAAGCAGCACCATGTCCTGCCTAATCACCTCTCCCCAATACTTCTTAGGCCTACCTCGACCTCTTCTCAAGCTCTCTATGGCCAACCTCTCACACCTCCTGACCGGAGCATTAATGCTTCTTCTCTTAACATGTCCGAACCATCTCAGCCTCGACTCCCGCATTTTGACCTCCACGGAGTCTACTCCCACTCTGTCCCGGATAGCTTCATTCTTAATCCTATCTCTCCTGGTACACCCACACATCCATCTCAACATCCTCATCTCTGCTACTCTCATCTTCTGCACGTGGGAGTTCTTGACTGGCCAACACTCAGCCCCATACAACATAGCCAGTCGAACCACCACTCGATAAAACTTACCCTTAAGTCTTAGCGGCACATTCCTATCACACAAAACACCGGAAGCGAGCCTCCACTTCATCCATCCCGCTCCGATGCGATGTGCGACATCTTCGTCAATCTCCCCGTTACCCTGGATAATAGACCCGAGATACTTAAAACTCACTTTCTTGGGGATAACTTGAGCATCAAGCTTAGCCTCTACATCTGCATCATGGGTCCCGTCACTGAATTTGCACTCCAAGTATTCTGTCTTGGTTCTACTCAGTTTGAAACCTTTAGACTCCAAGGTCTTTCTCTAAACCTCCAACCTCGCGTTAACTCCGGTACGCGTCTCGTCAATCAACACTATATTACTACTTGTACAAGGATTAATATGCATAAATTGAAAATTGCTACCAAACATTAGAATAACAATGCAGTTGTTTTATACCGTGATTGATTTGTCTAATACCTCTAACCAAATGTGTCCAAAGTGTTTATGTGCTACAAAAAAGGGTCTCTAGGGCCGTAGTTGCCTTGTAGCAAAAAGTTGGAAGCGGCTCTGTGATTGTTTGTGGAATTATTATGTGGCTGTGTTGCCCCCTTTAAGTTTCTTGCTTTTTTTAAAATTAAAATGCAATATAAATGCTAATAAGTTTGTCAGTTACCATTGATATGAATGAAGCTCAAACCAGATCAGGTTGCCTGACCCTGAGTTGAACTTTCCTTGCAGGACCAATTGCTCTTGCTCTATTTGGCAAGCCTCACAAGGACACAACTGAGCTTCGCAGAAAAACTTAACACTGCTGCTCAAATCCTGTGATGATGATTAATTCATTCTCGTGTTGTAGTGCAACATCAGAATTTTCTCTAGGTAACTGATTTTTGTTCTAAACAATGATGAGATCGGTCCTTACAAGAGAGGAAGAATTGTATTTTATAGTTTGTTATTAGTTTATATGTTTTCGTTTCGGTTTTGTACAAGACAAACAACATATGGTGAAGACGGAGGTAGACTTAGCTTAGCTTGATTCATTTGAAAATTCCATTGAGGACGTATTTTAATCCTTTTTGGAGGTGCCAAAAATTGAGGTATTTTCTTTGATTAGTTTCTTGTATTTTATTTTTCTCTTATTTGGGCGTCGGCAGTAGTTTCTTTATAACTGTTTCGCTTTGTTGGATTGGCTGTTTTGATCCTTATTTTGTCTCTTAAAAAGTGGTTGTCCGTTCCGTATGAAGAATTATTGGAACGGTAAAAATCTACTATCAATTATAGAGTGTTTTACAACACAATTTTAACATGTATTTATTTTATAGTCAACACAGCACGATGCTAAACTGCTAACATGAGGTCATTTGAACGATGTAATTCTCAGTTTGTTCTAATGTTCTTTTCTGTCCATAAATATCAGATCCCACTGTTTCCTTAGATTAGCTCGTAGGGGAAGTAATACAAAACGTTGGGGCGATCTTTGTCTATTAGAGTGGATAAGAAACCACTGAAGCTTACATTTTTGTCTATTAGAGTGGATAAGAAACCACTGAAGCTTACATTTTAGTGGTACATACCTGTTGGAGTAGAGAAGTGTTGCGGAGAGCTTTACATTTTACTTTGGTAGTACCTTTTTTTTTTACCCTTTGTTACAAAATAAATAAATAAAATATACTATGTTAAGCTTTGACGACGTCGCGTAAAAAGGAATTGCCCAAGCAAGAATCTGTCACGAGTGAGTAATAATGGATGCTTGAACTGATTATTAGTTTATAATATTTATTATTAATAAAAGAATGAACAAAAAGATAAACTGACGTGTACGTATCACTCAAAAGCTGCATCGTGATATGGATAAATATGCTTTCGAATTGATAGTTGATTTTGAGGATTAAAACGTTGGCTATTTTTACCATCATGCACGGAAAAGTTTATGAAAAGCTATTTATATTCAAAAAGCTATTCCTTTTGTTATCTAAAGAATATCGATTAAAAATAATGACAAATAATTCTTAAGTAGTAATAATATTAAAATCAATTTCTATGCAACAGTAAGTATATCTCAATCCCAAACTAGTTAGCATAAGCCGTGTGGATAATCAATATTTAGGACATTGTAAATTCTCATTCCCTAATAAAATGGGATGAATATTTTTTGTACGAACTTTTACATATACTATATGCTAAATAATAAACCTAATTAGCACTGAAAATAAAGACACAACGTTTATTCCTCTATCAAAAGTAGATTAATGCTAGAATGCAAAACTCCATTCCATTGACAACCAATAAAAAATTTTGCATTCGAAAATCAAGTTTTAGGAAATTGTTATTTATTTGAATCAAGTGTTATTGCAAATGATTTTGAATATCCTTTGGAGTAATATCTCAATTTCGAGGGAGTTCGGTGAAGATCGAATTGGTTTTGGTTGGAGTTTTAGAATAAACTCGAAGAGGACAATATAAATAAATTGTATATATTTTATATATCATGGGTACAAATGACATACAAAGTACATACGACTAACATAATTGTACTGAATTAACTGGATTCTACACATAAAAAATTGCATGCAGGTGGTATGTTTTGATCGAATTCCGTACAACAAAAAGTTGTATGTAAATTGAATGTTTTGGCCGAATATATATATATATATATATATATATATATATATATATATAGTTTTAAAAAATACAACAACAACATACCTAGTAATATCCCACACTGTGGGGTCTGGGGAGGGTAGTGTGTACGTAGACCTTACCCCTGCCTTGTGAGGATAGAGAGGATGTTTCCAATAGACCCTCAGCTGAGGAAAGTATAAGCACCATATTAATGAAAATATTGACAAGAAGGGACAATACCAAAAAGCCATATAAAAATCTAACTAATTAAATCACGTAAATATTATCCTAATTAAATCAGGTAAATATTATCCTAATTAGTTAGTTTTTAAAAATCTAACTAATTAAATCAGGTAAATATTATCCTAATTTTGGTAAATTAGTGTAATTTGGTATAAACACCCGATGACATACGTTTTAATGTGATCTTAAAAATTCACTACCTTTTTCTGTCAAATTTTATATCTACAATAGAATAAACAAAATAATAAAAAATAAAAATAGCATAAAAGATGTGAAAAACAAAGAAAATGGAGTAAAACATTCTCGTTCGTTCTTCACTATTTTTTCTTTCAATTTTATTTGTTTTTATCATTAACTAAAAGTTTTCTGGATATGTTAATAGTAACACTTACACATGTATGACAATTTTACTAAAGTCACAAACAATGTGATAAAGAGTGCGTGAAAGAACATAGAAAGCATGGTGCGAATCAATATTTTACTTATTTATCTTTAAAGCATTAGCTGTAAAAAGGGACACTCCAATTAAAACATTCCATGTGGATGAATTCTCAAAGTGATGATGACTAATGATTTATTCTAGACTAGTTGACCGGTCTAAGAGAATTTAATGAGGTTGGTCTAGAAGACGCAGTCCAAAACCTATAGAAGACCATATATAAGCTATTGCTATGTAGTTGGAAATGGTCCAACTGGTACTAATGCCTAACGCCTTTGGATGCATGGCTCTTCAATACCTTCCAACTAGTCTATACCTTAATTTCTTATGTTGTACAAGTCATACTTATATATGACCTTGTAATTCTACAGTGACGAATAGCCTTATGCCATCTAGCTCCGCCTTCGCAAAGGAGAAACTAGTCTAAATTTGTTGAAATCCAACTCTAAAAACTCTTTTAGGGGTGACATTATACTAGTTTAAATGAATTTGACACTGCTACATACCCTAAAAAATTAATTAGATGTAATCATTTATTTGTAACTTAGAAGTAGTTGTGGCTCAACACCGAAAGTTGTAAGCAAAAAGGTTTATCAACTTTAGAGAGAGACCAAAATCTCTCTAATAACCAAACAGCCATTCAACAATGGCCACATCCCCACTCTCGGCTAGACACCCGACTCCTCGAATACTACCGGAAACCCGCGATATTACTAATGGAGTCTCCCAGAGTGCAATGGAGGAAGATAACCCCCAAAAGAACTCCTTCAAGGAAATCTTGATTGGAAAAAAACCTGACTTCTTTCATCTCCTATGGGATAAATTCCCCTTTACCACTCTGCCCCAATTTTGAATTAGATGCAAGACATAACTATGTAATGTGGACAAAATCAGATTATACCAACCATGGAATGGAAGTACTCACTAATTGTCAAACTGTTTGGGACAAAAATCTCTCACCAGCTACTGAGGGCAAAGCTCACCCATCTATGGAATCCAACCGAACCACTCATACCCATTGATTGTAGCTGGACACTTCCTAACTGTCCGTCAATGAGAACCCAATTTCGTTCCGATGGAATCAAAGCTTTCAATAACCGCAGTATGGATCGGGCTACCACAATTACCAACTGAATTCTATGACAGATCCATTTTGGAGCGGTAGGCAACAAGATAGGCAAATTGATATAAATTAATACTTGTACATCATCTACACTACAAGGGAGGTATGCAAGAATTTGAGTCCAAGTTCAAATAGAAATGCCAGTCACTACAATCATTACCATTGGCACACATAGCCAACCAATTGTATATGAAGGGAGGGGATACTCTATAAGGGATGTGGGCGAATTGGCCATACACTAAGGAGCTGTGAGTCTGTAACCATACCCACCCCAACAAATGACCAGACTGCACCAAGCAGTAGCTCCACTAATGAGCCCATCGTGAAGGACCCGACATCTCAATGGTGCATAGTTCCCTTCTCAAAAAGCAGACAAAACCACTACAAAGGAGATCAACCATAAAGGCACAACTAGGGGAAAGGTCCAGAGGGAAGCAACATCCAAGTAAAGAGGTTCAATGCCTCATCAGGTAAGTTCTTAGACCCAATAACATCACTGTAACGACCCGATCGGTCGTTTTGAATGTTTGCACTTCGCTCGCCAGTTCTCGGGCATGGCTAGCCCCGTATGGTATATTATGACTTATGTAAATCGTCAGTTTTGGTTTTCAGGTTAATCGGAATAGATATGGAAGGATGATTCTCAGCTTGAAGCTTTAAATTTGAAAGGTTTGACCCAGTCTTGACTTTTTAGTATTCGATCTCGGATTTGGATTTTTATGATTTGGTTATCTCCCTCGGGTGATTTTGGACTTAGGAGCGTGTTCGGAATGTATTTTGGAGGTCCATGGTAGATTTAGGCTTGAATTGGCGAAATTGGAATTTTGGCGTTTTCCGGTTGGTAGTGGTAATTTTGATATCGGGGTCGGAATGGGATTCCGAAAATTGGAGTAGGTCCGTTGTGTCAATTGTGATGTGTGTACAAAATTTCAGGTCATTCGGACGAGGTTTGATAGACTTTTTGATCGTTTGCGGAATTCGGAAGTTTTAGAATCCGTAGGCTTGAATCCGAGGGTGATTTGGTGTTTCGATGTCGTTTTGAGTGTTTCGAAGGTTGGATTAAGTTTGAATAGTGATATGTGACTTGTTCGTATTTTTGGATGAGGTCCTGGGGGTCTCGGAATGATTTCGGATGGTTATCGGAGAGTTGGAAAATAGAGTTTGCAGCTGAAGCTGCTGCGTTTCTGTCATAACCGCACCTGCGGATTGGGGACCGCAGGTGCAAGCCGCAGAAGCGACATTTTTGATCGCAGGAGTGAAGGCCAGTTGGCTGGGGATGCAGCGCAGAAGCGGAGGTTAGATGCACCTGCGAGCCTGCAGATGCGGTGGCTTGATCGCAGGTGCGGATGGGGACTTTAAGTGAAATTCCGCAGATGCGGACATCTAGTCGCATGTGCGGGGGTCGCAGGTGATGTATTGGACCGCAAATGCAGAACCCCTGGGCAGAACATATAAATTCTTGCCTTCGCGATTTTCAGCTCATTTCTCACCATTGTTGAACGGTTTTGAAGCTTTTTGAGAGGGATTGAAGAGGGATTCGAAGGGAAACACTTTGAGGTAAGGTTTTTGAACCTAAAACTCGATTCTATGCTGACTTTCAATTGTTTAAGCATGAAATTAATGGGATTAAGGGTGAAAAATTGGAAAGTTAGGTTTGAAATCGGAGAGGTAAAATTACGGATTTGAGGGACCATTTAAGGTCCGATTCTGATGTTCTTGGTATGTATGGACTCGTGGTA